GAGCGACGCAAGGAGGCGAGCAGGAGAGAGAGAGCCGGATACAAGAGAGGAGGGATCGAGCAGACGAGAGAGAGAGAGAGAGAGGAGAGAGAGAGAAATGAGAGGAGAGGAGAGGAGAGAGAGAAGAGAGAGGAGAGGGAGAGAGATGAGAGAGAGAGAGAGACGGAGGAGAGACGAGAGACGATGAGAGAGAGAGACGAGAGAGGAGGAGAGAGAAGGAGAGAGATTGACGGAAGAGAGAGAGAAGAGAGAGAGAAAGAGAGCATGAGAGAGAGACCCGAGAGAGACAGAGAGAGAGCAGCACGGGAATAATGAGTAGGGGAAAAACAAGCAGTGTTGTACACACACACGCACCTTGGACATCTTTAAGTTGTTTGCATGCAGTGTAGCGAGAGCGGCGCAGCACACGAGGGCACTCGAGCTGGATAGTCCCGAACTAGGCGGTATTGTCCCGTCCACAATGACCTTCATCCCGCGCGGGGTCGTGACCTTCAGGTGCTCCACGATTCCCCGGAAGCCACACAGTACATAGTGGAACCATTTTGGGTTTGATTTATCTATGGTGTACTCATCGACCGGGCAGGAAAACTCGCTGAGGGATACACAAAATTTTGCATAGGACGATAAAAATTATATTATTATGGTACATTATTAGACAGTGTTTCCCCTGCATTGACACGAGCGAGGCGGGCCGCCTCGCTCAAATTCTCAGCTGCCACACAGAAATTTGTCCAAAACACCACCTCGCTGAGAAAAATCAATGTTCTTCCATCAATAAACTACACTTTATTGAAGTAAAATCGAAAGAAAGATTAGAATGTACCAAATTTTTTCTAAAATTTTCCGGGGGACATGTCCCGGACCGCCCAGCTGGGTGAGCACCTGTGGTGTTCGCTTTGCTAGTACCTCAAAATGCGCAAACACACCAAAAGAAATTTACCACCTCACAGATATTTTTGGCCAGGGGAAACACTGTTACTGTTAGATATATAATTTACATAAAATATATCTATATACATTTTTTTCCTACATGTGAAAAATTATTGACTGAACGTTTGCCAAGCAACCTATACTATGCCTACAAGAACTGTTTTGCATTCATATTTGTATTTGCCCCAAACTCTGAAGATATTGTGGTAATAAAGAAACTTCTTCTAGATAACAGGTGAGATAAAAATATGTGCATACTAAAACACACGAAAATCCAACCAGCTACGAGTTAGCGACATAGCTTACCAAAAAGAACTCGAAGAATTGGCCAATTGAAGTGTGTTGCTGCTATTGGTACTAACAGCAATGGCAACATCCTGTTCTATGGCCATTGGAAGCACACCATAACCGGAATAATCAATATGTTCACCTGCATTGATGCAAACATTGTACACGAATTCATAGTTTCACTGACAACTTCTACATCTTAAAATACAGGTCAACATAATGAGCATTTAGCATCTATTTCAACCAAAGAAATCACATTTCGTCAACTTAATAACTAAGTATAGACTTTGTAATCCGATATATTTTCATCGTTTGCATTATCGTTATATTATATATCATATTATTATCATTATAATTTCATCAACATATTGATGTTAATAGCATGACTACATCCCTCTTGAGAAACTTCATGAAACTTACCAATTATATTTACTCGTCCAGGAGCCCTGGCATAGAACTCAGGTTCCGCATTAAACCGCTTCAGGAAATGTTGGCATATTTTGTGATACCTGTGAAGTTTAAAAAACAAACTGCATTGACAAGATATCAGCCTAGCTGTATATATACAAGATTCACAATAAGTATTGAAATATATATATATGAAATGCTAGATTTAATTTAGGTATTAAATCTATACCTTGGCTTAAGCTTTTCATCCAGGGTCTTAACTGACACAAACTCTTGATCAGTCATTGTTAAAAGGTTGGAAAATATTTGTGGTCCTGTGTTCTGGAAAACAAGTTGTGAGCATACATGATATAGCCTGGCAGGTTAACCACAATTTAATATTCTCTTATTCAATGTTAAATCTTCAATAATATGCTCACTCAATATGTTAAAACACCTAACTGGACATACATCATAGGCATATGGATGTTTTTATACTCCTGATGACAAGCTCAATATGTCGCTGTGCTATGCCTCGTCTAGGGGCAACGTGTACAGCTGGGATGATAGAGCAAACCTAGCTCTAGACAGTGTTCTCATTAGGAACCGGCTACTGGCCGAATTGACCGTCTACTCTGCTGTTTCAGCCGGTTACAATTGGCTCAAGCATATTAAAAAAAAAAAAAAAATTTATTCTCCAAAGTGAGTGTTTTATAAGCTACTACTAATAAATCAATTGAGTATATTTGTATGCGTGTTATGTGCACAAGAAGCATTGTTTTGTTTTTGAGTAACGCTATTTATGTACTTGTCTAACTGTTATAATTACTAAATCGTCATAATTTGGAAACTTTTGGTGAACTCTGAATGTACCAGGAGAAACCAAATTGGAAAAAAAGACCATACTGTAATCCAAATGTGTCTGTTTACTGCAGCTCAGAATACACCAGATTGCATCTCAGAGCATATCTAGGTTTTAACAAAAAATTTTGGGGAGGTAACCCCAAAACCCCCCGGCCGCACACCGCCACGGCCTTTTGCAAAAGCATTTGGGCCTGTTACTATAAAAGATAACGAAAACCCTGTCTAGAACTATAGCCCTCCGCTCCTCCTGTGGCGCAGCGAAGGGCTATAGTTCTAGAGCTAGAGCAAACCTATCTCTCCTCCAAGAAAATTAAGCAGCAACTAGCAAATTTGATTCTTTTGCACTGCTGAGTTGAGCAGTCTTCCTCTGCTTCTCTGCAATCGTCTTGCTTCTCCTCCTCCTTCTCTTCTTCCTCCTCCTCCGCCTCTTCTTCCCCATCTTACTCCTCCTTCTATCTTTCTTATTTTTCTACAATTTCCTCTTTGCCTTATTTTTCTCATTTTTTTCTGATTTCTCATACTGCTCCCCTTCCTCCTCCTTGGTTCCCCTCTCATCTTCTTCAACATGGACTTGCTCTTCCAGCTGTCTGCTCCTCATCTTCCATTCTTCTTCTACTTCTTCTAGATCTTCCCCTTCTTCCTTATTCTCCTCCTCTGCCTCCTCTGCCCACCCTCTGTTCTACCTTTTTCATTTTTTTTTACTTCCTGTTTTTCTTTGTCCTCCTCCTTTACTTAATTGGGGCCTTCTTCTACGGATATGTTTTCGAGTTGATTCGCTGAGTGAGTTCCTGAGCATTCAGAGCAAGTCTTCTTTTTCTCCCCCACTACACAAGTCACACCCATCATTAGTGTACTTATTTTTAAAGTAAGCCTTTAAATCTATCGTGCATGTCTTGCATTTAAACACAAAACAAGAATCCTCATAAGACATTGATGTCATATAATTCTTTAATCCATAATTATTAAAGGGATCGTTTACTCGTAGGTTCTAGGGTTATTTTCAGTTAATTTAGGTTAAAATTACGCTACATAAAAAGTTTCATGGTTTAATCAACATCAGAAATATTATTGAAAAATGTTTTATAACTAACGACTACAGTTTGATTACAACGACGGTCGCGCCACTCAAAGCGCACGATCTGATAAGTTGCGCAAAACCACTTTTCAGGCAAGGGCTACAGACCGAGGGTGTTTCTTATTTATTAATTTAAAAGCAAAAGGATTGTAATATCTTATAAACAACATATAGTTTCAGTTATAACATGGATAAATTTGCCCTAAAATTAATATCATTCGGTTAAATATCATATAGGTATAAATATAATTGCACTTTTGTGATTAGCCCTCGGTCGGTAATGTGCAAAATAAATTGTCGAATACGCAACTTTTTCGGGGTGGCAGCACGGTCGCGGGTGTCATGGCGCCATTCAAATTTCGTAGCATTGATGTGTAATTAATTATATTATAACAATAAAATTAGGTATCTGGTAACAAATACGTGTGGGTATAGACGATTTGTTATACAGTAAGTACAGTTGTATGCAGTAAAATCCTAGAGTCTACTATCCCTTTAATATTAATCATTTTCAATTTTGTTTTTGATGTTCCTTCCCCTTCATCCCTTTCTATCACGTTTTTTAGAACGCTGTGGCTATATGCACGGTCTTCGATTTCCTAAATGCTCGGCAGTTCCTAACCTTAGAAACCTAACCCTTGTTTACTTGAGATAACGCTGAAAATCAACAAGAGCCGCAGAGCATCTGGGCTCATCTGAGGTCTGTTGCTACGGTTATAAATGTAACATTTAAGTCGTGCGTAGTGACACCTTTGTTAGGCGCAGATATGCAGATACGCAGTTGCGTACACATCATTTCAGCAACCTTCTGCATTCTGCATACCTCTCAAACCCCATTGGTTGATACAAATAGCGTGCCTGAAACTCCTGTTTTATGGTGCATTGTGACCCTAACCCTAACCCTTTTTTTTTTTTTTTAATTGTTGTAAAAATTATTTGTTGTTATTAAATTGTTGTAAATAAATCATGTAAATATTTGCCTTAACTCAAAAAAAATAGTTAAATGG